CTCACCTAGCAGCGTTTGCCCACACTGATGTTCTAGTTGAAAGTTCTTAGAGCTTCTTCAATCCTGGGGCATTAATTTTCCTGTTTCCACACCCCAGACCTGCCCACCAAGAGCGGTCACCAGCCAAAATAGGCTGAACCAGGACCAGTTTCTGCTGGTGGTCTACCTCCCTCTCCAGCTACTCTATCCTTCCAGGGTGGATAGCATCTCTTCCTGCCATCTGTGGCCAGGGGGCAAAGAAACATGGGACGTCAAGAGCAAGCTGCTCCACACTGCCTACCCCATGCCCCCACCACTTGGTGGGAAGCAGCTGCTCCAACAACCTGCTGTGGGCAACAGAGCAGTTCAGCATGGCCAGAAGTTAAGGCTGCTCCCCACACTCCCCTAGAGCAAGGTATCCCAGGAGACCAACCTAGGAAGGCCAGAGGGGGTAATTTATCTTCCAGGAAGTGTTCACACTAACTCCTTCCACCTCCAGTCCTGTGCCTACAGGGCCCCTGGGCCTGTGCAGCACCATGGTGTTTAGGCCAAAGCCCTGGGCACTGGAAACCACCCCATAAGGCAGGGTTGCCCACCTCTAGGTCGCAGAGAAGTGAGGAAGACAGACAGTGTTGTGGCAATGGGAGGTGTGCTGGACAGCTTTAGTGTCAACTTGACACACATGGGTTTGGGGAGCCTCAGTTGGGGAATTGTCTTCATTGGATAGGCCCGTGGCCATGTCCATGGGGGCACCTTCTTGATTGTTGAGTGATGTGGGAGGGCCCAGCCCACTGTGGGTGGTGCCACCCCTGGGCAGGTGGGCCTGTGTTGCATAAGAAAGCAGGCTGAGCAGGGGCCGGGGGAGCACGCCAGTAAGCAGCATTCCTCTGTGGCCTGTGCGCCAGCTCCTGCTTCCAGATTCCTATTCTGAGTTCCTGCCTTGGGCTCCCTGATGAACTGTGACCTGGGAGATGTAAGCTAAATAAACCCTTTCCTCCCCAAGTTGGTATTGGTCAGAGTGTTTTGTCACAGCAATGAAGAAACAAACTAGGACAGGAGGAAACAGTCCAAAGTCCCTCAGGCACTGAGCAGACAGGGTCTTCTCTGCCTTAGGGCTCTGCTAAAGACCTACCCTGCTCTGGCCTCCTTGCACACTACAAAGTCCCACTCAGACCCTCACTTTTCCTTACTTCAGACACAGATGCCTAGCCTCCCCTGTCCCCAGTCTCTTGTGCATCCCCCGCAATACCGTGCCACACCACTGAGCTCACCTGATACCCTCCCCCAAGTCCTTAGCTGCAGAGGATAGGGTGTGACTGAGACACATCTCTGCTCACAAACACTGGATGCCACCTTGACATCCAAGCTCCACTCGATGATAGCTGTTGGTCATTCTTTGATTCAGGTGGCCTGGACATTTGGGAAGAGTGCTGACCACAAGACTTTCATGGGTCACCTGACTTCATAAAGATACACAGGCATACTGCAGATTTGTTCTGAGATTACTTAGTCCCAGGGCACCTTGGAAAACCTACCAGGTTCATCCGGCACCTGTTCGCATTACACTGCTCTTTAGAATGGCCCCTGGAAGCCTGAACTCAATACTCCTTTCATGGAGATTGGGAGCCTGGTGATCCTAGCAGGTCTGGCTCCTTTCAGATTCTAGCAGTGACATAGGAAGCAAGCTTATCAGTGCTCCCAACTCAAGCCCCTAGCCCCACAGCCAGAAAGGGGATTAAGACTGCCAAACACCATTAAAGTTAAAAGGCACAGGCCAGGGCGGTCCCTCTTCTGCGCCCCTTCCTGGTTCCTCTTAAGTAGATGAGGAATTAAAAGCAGACTCATGGGGAAAGGGAGACTGTGGCTTTGGGGAGATTTTGAATTGGATATTCATTTAGCTCAATACAATTTACCCTGTGACTGCTGTCCAGATTTATGTTAGAAATGTCATGAAGGAAGCTGGGCGTGGTGGGGCACGCCTTTAGTCCCAGCACTCAGGAGGCAGAGGCAGGCAGATCTCTGTGAGTGTCAAGGCCAGCCTGGTCTACATAGTGAGTTCCAGGCCAGCTGGGACTACAGGGAGACCCTGTCTCAAAAGACAACAAAAAAATGTCATGAAGAATAACTGCTCTCAAATGCCTTTTCTGAATTTAAAAAAAAAAAAATCAAATATCCAAATCTTAAAATGAGTCCCAGGAACAGAAAACTATTAGCATCAGTCATATGGGCCACACAGTCATCATTTACATGTACACACTGCTATGATGTCTATGGGGACTGCCCATGTCCACAGTATGTTCTGTAGGTGTGGCAAGTCAAAACAACCCACTTTTTTGGAGCTATGGGGCAAGGTCTGGTAGCCTGTGAAGTCACACAGTATTGTAACAATTGATTCCTTTCTCCTGGGCCTTGGCTCACAGGTGGTCTCTGTACGTAAAGATTTCTCTCCTGTCCAAATGAAGAAGAATTCATCAATCCCAGACATCAGGAACACAAGGACCAAGAGAGAGCCAACTAAGGGAGAGCCCTGGGTCCAGACAGCACCCAAGCCAAGTGTGCCCACCACACACCCTCCAACTTACTCAGGTAGGGTAGCAGGGTGTGGAAACCAGCATCACATGCCCTCTAACTAAGCAGTTTCTAGATAGACTTCAGCCAACACACCTAGCTAAAGGTTTGTCCAGCACGTTGGAATTTTAGCATAGTAGGTTTGGGGGACAGTCAGAGGTTAAAGGAAACATGGGTTGTCTGGCTGGGAAAGGCAAGACTGGAAACACAAGGGTTAACACTTCACAAAGTGACTCAAGTTGCAGCTTTCATAGCACAAACCTGGGCCTTCAGGCTCCTTTCCCCATCAGTCTGACACCTTCCCTGCCCCCAGAGGGTAATGGGAAGGCACTGGCCATTTGTGACACAAAGCCAGACAGCAACGACCACCAGCTGGAGTCCATCACCACATCCAGCTCTATGGTGACCAGTGATCCTGCTCACCTCTCCCACAGAATGAGTCTGCCAGCACTCCTAAGTACTGACTTCCACAAAGTTGGGTACCCTGTGCCTCTCAGCCAATTACTATGAAAGCCAGGGCTTCCTCATCTTCAAAGCTCAAGGATGTCACACATCCAACAGCACACAAATAAGACAGCATAAACACCCATGGCTTACTCGCCACTTTCTAAAACTCTGTAAGCAATTAAACATTTCACTTTTGACCAGTAGGTCAGAGCCGAGACAAATTTTCCTGTGCCCTTGTCTTTTGTTTACTCTTTCGATCTGGCAGAGGCAACTGCTGAGATCTCTAAGATCATGCTCATGTTCTGTCTGAATCTTTTGTCAAAATGGGCAGCTGTAGCCTGGCAAGATGGCAGACTGCAATCCCAGCACTTGAGTAGTATAGACAGAGTACCATGAGTTCAAGGTCAGTCCACCATATGTGAAGTTCACCCTGAGCTACATGAGTTTTAAAAATGACAGCTGGGAGCCGGGCGTGGTGGCGCATGCCTTTAACCCCAGCACTTGGGAGGCAGAGGCAGGCAGATCTTTGTGAGTTTGAGGCCGGGCTGGTCTACATAGTGAGTTCCAGGACAGCTGGGGCTACAGGGAGCACCTGTCTCAAAAAGACAAAAAAAAAAAAAAAAAAAAAAAAAAAAAAAAAAAAAAAAAGACAACTGGAGCCCAGGCATGGTGGTGCACACCTTTGATCCCAGCACTTAGGAGGCAGAGGCATGCAGATCTCTATGAGATCAAGACCAGTTTGGTCTACATAGTAAGTTTTAGGCCCAGCTGTGACTACAGAGACCCTGTCTCAAAGACAAAAAAAAAAAAAAAGGCTCTGGTTATTCATTTGTCTGACTTTTGGCGACTGATTTTAAAGCTGGGTGTGGTGGTGCATGCCTTTAATCCCAGCACTTAGGGGGCAGAGGCAGGTGGCTCTCTGAGTTTGAGGCCAGCCTGGTCTACACAGCAAGTTCAAAGCCAGCTGGGGCTATAGGGAGACCATCTCTCAGTAAGATTAAACAAAAACAATGAAAATTGGGAACCAGGTCCTCTGCAAGATCAGCCAGTGCTCTTAACCACTGAGCCGTCTTTCCAACTCCCACCACCTACGCAGTGGCTTACAATCATCTTAACTCCAGTTCCAGGGATCTGATGCCCTCTTCTGACCTCTGTGGGCACTGCACGACATGGATGCAGCTACCTACACGTAGGTAATACACTCACGCATGTAAAATAATTTTTAAAAACTTAAAATTGACTATACCACAGCCTGAGTTTGTGTATTTCATTGGGAACCTGGTAAGGAGCTGATGAGATGGCTCTTGCTAAGCCTAACGACGTAAGTTTGATCCTTGAAGCCTACATGGTGGAAGGAGGACAGACTCACAAGTTTCCTCTGATTGCCACACATGCCCTAGCATGCATGTGCACACAAAAAGTTTAAAAATAGGGTTAGAGAGATGGCTCAGGAGCAGACTGCTCTTTCAGAGGACCCAGGTTCAGTTCCCAGCACCCATATGGCAGCTAACAATCATCCTTAACTCAGTTCCAGGGAATCTGACACCCTCCTCTGACCTCCACGGGCATTGTACGCACACAATACAACTACATACACGTAGACAAAAACACTCAAAATTTTAATCAAAATGTAGTAAGCACTAGCAGACTGACAATGTGAGGTGAAGGTGGTAAGGATAACGGGGAGAGCCAACCTGGAGGTGGGTGTGCACCCGGGTGACATGTCACTGCTACTTAATTCCTCTACCTTTGTTGACACCTGCATATTCTTGTGAGGTGTTTGTTGGGGGACTGAATTCCAAGTCCTAGGTGGAACTGTAATTCCCTTCTGTGAGAAGGCACCCAGGGGTGCACAACTGCAGCACAGGTGTCTCAGATCCTCAGCACCCATCAGCCAAGAACAAGGGCCTTGGACTTCCACTGCTCAAAGCTGGCTCCACTGGAATCACAGCTACAATAAAAAACAAGGCGCATTACCCACTTGGTGGGGAAAGACAGCACACAGGCTTGCTCAACAGGCGTTTATTAAGGCTTGTATTCTCCTAGAGGACAGGTATCCGATGTTGTCCACGACTCCAAACAGGCAGTAACAGCTCGAGGAAGTGACACGTTCGAAATACAAGTCTAAATAATACAGCTTAAACGTTAACTCGGGGTCTTTTGGAGTAAATAGTTTCAGAAGGTATCTGCTCTCTAAGACAGTAAGGATCCTCTACGGTGGGCGCGTGCAGATTCGGTATGCGAGGGCGTCGGGCTGAGCACCTTTCATGCTAAACTCCAACTCCAGGTGGCGGCAAGCTCTTCAACGGCCCCTTATTCCACAAAACATGATAGCAAATTTGTTTTCTAAAGGATTTTTTGTTTTTTCACCCATTCAACAGGAAAAAAAAAGACACACAGTAAAATTTACAGTCGGCAGCAGCATCCATCACACTGCCTGTACTATCAGATCCTACATTTAAAGCTTAGCGTTACTGGAATAAAAACTTAAGATGGCATCAGGATTCTCAAGTGAAGAAAAGGGAGGACTAAAAAATGATCTACAAACTAAAACGGGAACGCTGAACCAGACCAACCACTGAGCCCCACCCCCACCCTCACTCAGTGGCAGGGAGGACTACAGCACAGCTCTGCGTGAGCACTGAACTATGACACAATCATGGTCACACTGGTAACTAAGTTACCTTTCTGTCTAGTAGGAAACCCCAAAGGGCAGGTCAGCATCTTAGGATGGATACCAAGACGGTAAAACGCAAGTCACTGCGGTACTGTGGAGACTTCGACAGCACCCTCTCTAAATGGGCTCATTTGCTGTAACGCAGTAGAGGGTAAGAAACAGGAAGTGCCCTACAGGGTTAGTACGTGGCTGGGTTTAAGAGTGAGATCACCATTTCTGCAAAATAAAAACATCTTTGGGATGTATCAGGTGTTTTGTTTTGAAGGGTATTTATATTTCGCATTAGGTCAGTCTGATAAGCTGACAAACAAAATACTCCTTTATTAGTGAGTTCTACAATATTATAATACATAGAAAAATACAAATGAATGCAGATCCATCTGGCAAAAATGAAATACAAAGATAAAGATGCAACAATCAACCCCGCACGAGGACGACACTGGAGCTGACGTGGAGACAGCACCAAGCATACAGCTTTAAAACTGTTTTCAAAGTCAACCGTTAACCACAAGAAACTAGCTTGTCCTTATTGTTTGCTTCGATTCTGCCGTTCCTGCAAAAAGAAAGAAAACAGGTTAGCCCACTGAGCAGTGCAATTTGCAGGTGGCAGACCACAAAGGTGAGGCCCAAGGTCACCTCATGGACTGCAGCCAGGGTCAGACATGTATACTGGTCTGGGCAGCCCCTGTGCACCTAGCTCTGAGCTGCCAAGGGACCTGGTCCCACAGACCAGACCAAGCCCACCATCCACACCCAGGCACCACCCTGTCCTATTCTCTCCCAAGGAGATCCTCTGTACAGAAGTCATGTGATTGTCAGCCCACCCATCAGCTTCTCACTGTCATGCCCCTAGGGAACACAGCACAGCTATGAAACCGCCTACACCCAGCAGAAAGACTGGCATGCACAGGGCACTCCAGCAAGTCAGGTACACAGGAGCTGCTATTCTATTTTCTCATTTTAACAAGCCAGTACTCAGAGTCAAAGTCTGTCCAACTGGCTAAAAGGTGAGCTCCAAGTTAGGGGGCTAAGAAGGATGGGAAGATAAGCTGGATCCATCTAGTTTAGGCCCCTTCTACCAGCCCAATATCCCTCTGTGGCCTCCACCCTCACTCACCAAGTCAGGGCACAGCTTCTTGGCCAGGCTGGCTTCCTACTTCCATAGAGACATCTTTTTTTCTCCACAGCGCACATGACACACCAATGGGACTTAACACCTAACTCTTTCCCCACATTTGCCTGTCTAGCTTCTCATCAGCAGGTCTAGAAGTCACCTGTTTTTCCTGCCAAAAGACATCCATCTTTGACATGGAAATGTCTCTGAAGCAAGAAGCATGCCCCACCATCCACACACCAAGTACCCTGTTCCATCAAAACTGCCTGCGTCCAGAGGTTAAATGCTGGTCCCTGGCACTGCAATCTTAGGTGTGGACTAGTAGAGGAAACTGAAAGCAGACACCCACAGTTAATGTGGTTTATTGTTGGTTTTGGGTTTTACTTGTTCTGAAACAGAATCTTAGGTAGCTGAGGTTGGTCTCAAAGTCCCGATCCTCCTGCCTACACCTTATAAGTGCTGGGGACACAGGAGTGCACCACTTCGCCTAGTTTCATTCAGTGTATCTAAGCAACATTGGCATCTTCCTTTTGGGCTAACTGGACAAAAGATAAGCACAGAAATGATCATCATAAAACTGGAGGAAGGAGACGGTGCCTGGCTCCTTCAGGCCTATAACAGCTACAAAGTCCATAGCCTGCTCTTTTAAAAAAGTGAAAAAGTAACACTGCTGGGCCTGGTGGTTCATGAATCCCAGCACTTGGAAGGCAGACCTCTGAGTTTCAGGCCAGCCAGGGCCAAAAAGCGAGACCCCGTCTCAAAACAAAACAGCTGGGGGTGGTAGCCCATATCTTTAATCCCAGCACTTGGGAGGCAGAGGCAGGCTGATATCTATGTGTTAAGAGACCAGCCTGGTCTACACAGGGAGTTCCAGGCCGGCTACGGCTACATAGTGAGACCCTGTCTCAAGAACATACAAACAAATAAGTAGAAAGTGGCATTACTCATAAAACTCCGGAGAGGGGGGGCACACTCAAGAGGACACACAGCTCACTGTCAGAGGGCCAACAAGCATGATCCCTTAAGTCCTCCTCTACCCACTTTCCAAAATCAAAGGTAATATGACCCAGGCCTGTCAGGCTAGGGGTTAGAGCACTATAGCTATCACCAGCCAGTAGGCACTGTGCAGAACACTCAACTATCACTATTTTAAACACCCTAAGAAAGAGCTATTTATCAGATTGGTTTTTGCTTTTGTTTTGGGCGATGAGTCTTCCTGTGGCCCTAGCTGGCCTAGAACTTGCTATTGTAGATCAGATTGGCCTTGATCTCATAGAGATCTGCCTGCCTCTACCTTCTAAGTGCTAGGACCAAAGGCATGGGCCACCATGCCCAGCTGTTTATCCATTTTAAAAAGCAATGTAGGGACAGTGAGCTAGCTCAGCAGGTTGAGGTGCAGGCCACCAAGCTTAACAACTTGGGTTTGATCCTTGGGAACCACCTGACAGAAGACAAGAACAGACTCCCACAGCACCCACTTATCCCCACATGCACACAGGTGCAACCACACTTCTCTACACAATACATGTAAAATTTAATAAATATAAAAGACACACTTCAAAAACCAATGAATCAAACTAGGACCTGGGAGTTAGTGCCTTCCGTAAGTAATCAGTACCACAGGGAAACCCTGAAAGGCAAACTGCAAAAACTGTCAGCAACATTTTGCTTTCTAAACCCTAAACACTTACAGTATTTATGTGTGTCTGAGTGTGTGCAACATGTGTGGGTATCCACAGAGCCCAGAAGGTGGTGATGGATCCCCTAGAGCTGGAGTTACAGGTGGTTGTGAGCTGTCCAGATGTGAGTGGTAGGAACTGAACTCAGGTCCTTCAGAAGAGCTGCAAGGACTCTCAACTGCTGAGCCACCTCTCCAGCTCCCAACTGGGAACTTTGTACCAAGACCATCTGACAGCTGTGAGGTCTGTCCATGAGAAACAAAAGATGGGCCTGTCTTCAGAGGTCAGGACCTTGGGGTCTACCAGGAGCCTCAAGCATTGTGCAGGTATTACAGCCTGGAAATAAGGGAGCAGCTCTTCACTATATACTTCATTCTTAAAGACTTCAGTGCATTCCCCAGTAGCTCAGACACCTGAGAATCTGACTGCTAGTTACCTAATAGCCCAGCCTACTTGGAAGGAAGACCAGTGCACCAGGTGGGCAGCAGGTATGTACACAGGTACACCTGTGTTGTACCATCAGTTGTTGGCTATGTGGGTACTGGGAACCAAACCTGGGTAGTCTGGAAGACTGGCCAGTGCTCCTAACTGTTAAGCCATCTCTCCAGGCCCCCATCACCAATCTTTGATATCTAGTACAGTTCAGAGACCCCTAAGGATTCCATACTCAAGGATTCAAGTGGAAAAACTGAGCACAAATGTGTACATTCAAAGCCAGCTATCACCATCCTGTTTCTAGCCTAGCAAGGGACTGCACTAACAATGCTTGGATGTGACAGTGGTCCCAGCCAATCTTATCTATGGGGGATGCCCCAAGCATTCTAGTTTGGTAAAAGTGTGATACTGGCAGAAGAACAAAACTGCCCAAAAATCATTTCTTAGAACATTAGAATATGTTCCCTTATTAACCAATGCATGGCTGTTTCTTATTTTATGACTGTCATCCCTTTCTCACCATTTTATCACTATTTCTTAGGAGGTAATTTAATGGTGCTAGCAGCACAACCACCTGCCCGTCTACACATTTCTCTGCTCAAAATGCTTAGACAGTTGTTCATTTACACAAGCAATTCCTCTGACTCAGAGGACAGAAATGACTAGAAACTCAGCTATTGCCAACTGATATTTTAGAAAAGATCTCAGGATATGCTCTTAGGCAAAGAAACTTAATGATGCATGCTGAGACCTTTTGTCCCATTTCTGGAGCCCAGTTCTGTTTTGAAGAGTAAGCGGTCTTACTCCAGGTATACCAGGCAGTTAGGACCATCTCCAGCATTCAAATGGACCTAAGCATACTGGTTTATTATTATAAAATGTCTGGATTCCAGCTCCCTCTCCACCCGCCATTCTCTTTACTATTTAAGAAGAATTGCGTTTTTAAGTTTCTCAAAGCTGTAAGACACAGAGTTTCTAAAAGAAAAATAGGAAACCTCCAGATCCAGAGCTTCCAACTGCTTTGTGGCAGTGCCCAAGAAACAGGAGCCCTCAGGCAGGTGGGACTTCAAGGAACAGTCAAAGCCTACTGCAAAACCACTTTCCCTGGGCTCCCCAGTGCCGCATGAACGTTGCTTACTAAGTGTGGATGAATGGGCAGAAGCTACAAAAGCCAAGAGATCATGATTCAGAAAGTACCTTCCCCCAAGGTCTTTCTTTGTACACAATGGTCCCAATTACCATGTTACAAAAAAAGGAAGGGAGACAAGTTATGTGGTGACCTCCTCAAACTCACACTGCTGGCTCCTCGTAATAACACAACAGAAAAGTTACGACACCCACACCCCCTGGATCACCTGCTCTAAGGTTAGCAGTCAGGAACTGTGCATCACTGGATCAGCAGATTGCCCCCCAACCTGCAGTCCAGGCCTCCTGGTGTGCACACAGATGCAAGCACCCGTGCAGCAGGTGCCCAAGCACGACTCACCTTGCGCACCACCTCCTCCTCCTCCTGGCGCTTTTCATAGTGAGAAAAGTCATCAAAGATGGAGGTTGTGTGCTTATAGGAAGCGATGATCTTCAGCACTTGCTTTGCTTTTTCTAAGGGCACCTCCTGTGTGTCACGGGAGTTTGTGACAGGTTTGTTGTCGTTGTTCTCCAGTCTTATGTGCCGCAGCTGGTTATTGGGCACATCCTTCACAAAAATCCACTTCACGTCAAACTTCCCCTTCCACTTGTCCTGAGACCAGACCCCAGCACTGGTGCCATAGTCCACAGGGGACTTCATCTCTGCCACCCCACAGAAATGTCCACTCCCGTTGACACTGAAGAGCAGGTAGACAGGCCCCTTGCTGTTCATGGAGCGGAAGGCGCCGTCAAGGCGCTTGTTGCCATGTTCTGTGCTACACCAGATGGAGTACTTGATGGAGCGGTGGATGTCGTCCTCAGAATAGCTCTTGATGATGAACACCCGCCCACTCTTAAGATTCCAGTCGAACTCTTTAGGGTTATAGCTGTGGGCAGCTTTCAGTTTCTCGAGGACAGGATGGGACTCTACACTTGGGGCAGAAGTAGGCTGAGCATTTCCAACAGAGTTACTGTCACTGCTGACCCCTCCACTCTGCCCAAATGCTGCGTTTCTGTTGCGAGGAGCCACCCAGCGGGGCTGGAGTGGCTGCTGAGGGCTCTGATACTGTGGCTGGACCAAAGGTGGGGGCTGAGCCGGGAGAGGCTGAGCTACCTGCTGGGGCTGTGGGGCAGCCTGGGGGGAAGGTGCCTGCTGGGGGGCAGGAGCCTTCGGTACAGGCCCTTTGTTATCCCAGGTGCCAATGTCCATGTTATGCTTTATAGGTGGAGGAGGCAGTGCTCCCCCAACCATTGGCCCACTCTTTGTTTTCATTTTAGGCTGTGGCTTTGCAGGCTTGCTGGCAATGGCAGCCCAAGAAGTTGGTTTTGAAACTGGCATGCTCACATTTGTCCCACCATTGCCAGAAAGGACACCCGTCAATGCCACACTGTTGACGACTGAACCCACTGTCTTGACTGCAGAGGTGGTGACATCCCCAATCTTCAGACCAATCATGCCCTGCTCCAGACTGTTCATCCCAGGGGCCTTGTTGAGAGTGTCACTGTGAAAACCTGTCTGCCCATCAACAACTGTGCCACCAAGGGAGCTTGGTGGGTAGGTGTAACTGCTCCCATAGGCTGAGCTCTGCGTCTGCTGCCCCTGAGAACCACTTGTCCCCCATGCTGAGAATGCAGGGTTTTCGGGGAAAAAATTAAACCTGTGCTGATAAATGTTGTTCCCAAGACCCCCAGGCTGCCCGAAAACAGCATCATGCATGAAGTGATGGTCTCCATTACTCAGTTGTCCATAGGTAGTAAGGTATGGGATGGGAGGGTCCCCTGCAGTAGACCACGGCGCCTCACTGAGGGAGTAAGGAAATCCAATGGATGGTGGATAGTAGCTGGACAGGTAAGGATCACTCATCGAGGGATAACTGTTACTCTGTGGAAACAAACAGGTGATGAGTTAAGACCCCGTCACACAGTTTAGCACATCAACCACCTCACACACAGGTTGAGTAGAACAATTCTGACATAGCTCAGGATTATACCTTCCTAAATGAAGGCTAAGGTTACCAATGTCAAAACAAAGTCAAGACACAGAGAAATTAGTAACAAATGCAACCTAGGCTGTTACCTCAAAATACAAAGCCTCCTTTGCAATGATCTGAACTCAAATGAAACAACCGAGCCAAGTCATCCTGCAACCTGGTACACAGCATCCTCTGCTTTTACTATCAGAAGACCCTGCATCAGTTGGTCTGTGTGGCCAACACAAGCGCCTGCCCAATTTCAGTTTCTACCTCAACCTACTGACAGGCCAGTTTCTAACTCCACTGTAGTTCTCTTTTTCTTTCCTTTTTGTCTTTCTGAGACAGGGTCTCCCTGTAGCCCCAGCTGGCCTGGAACTCACTATGTAGACCAGGCTGGCCTTGAACTCACAGAGATACACCTGCCTCTGCCTCCCAAGTGCTGGGACTACAGGCGTGCGCCACCACCCCCGGCTGTGTAGTTCTCTTTTTCATCCCTGAAAGTGAAGCAGCCAGGCTACTGTGTGAAGCTATCTCAACCAGGCTATTCTAGGCATAGGCAGCAGGTAGCAGCTGCTCCTGTAACTCTGTATAGGCGAGACTGAATGCCAGGCCATGATATATACCTTTCCTGGGAAGGAAGTGGTTCCCAGCAGTCTGTAGTTCATGCTGCCTGTTCTGATCTAAAGCTGTAGCAACTTACTTAAAATGTGCCCTGGAAACGATCTAGGGTTGCTGGTAAAGCACACGGATGTCCAAGCCCTCTGCTTCTCTGTGTGCCTGACCAGGCACAAGCTTGGGCTCATATTCACCTGCAAGTGCCCCAGGCAAGATGGTCCCTCCTGGCTTGGCAGTGCCATAGGGAAGTCTAAGCTACCAATATGAAGGTCTGTTTATCAGAGACATAGCTAAATAAACTAAGTTATAAAAAACAAACTCAAAGTTTGCTCTTCACTAGTAAAAGAATTAAAAGGAGGGAATTGGAGAGATAGCTAATAGAGCAGTTAAGAGCACTTACTGGCTGCTCTTGCAGAGGACCTGGGTTCAACTCCTAGCACCCACATGGTGGCTAACTATCAGTAATTCCAGTTCCTGGGGATCTGACACCCTCTTCTGACCTTCAAGGGCACTGCACAACATTGGGTATACTTAGATACACACAGGCAGTACACTCATACACAAAAAATAAAGTAAAAACAAATGCTCTCCACACATGAGCAAAGGCACTTGGGTTTCCAAAGCCTCTGTCAGACTACCAGGCAGTACCACATCTAAGACTTCTTATCATAGCTAGGGTACAATAGGACCACACAAGGGAGGCAAACAAATCTTCCAGGCAAAGCCAGAGCCCTCCTCCTGATAACTACAAAATGATAAAATAGACATTTCAAACAAAGAATTAAAGAGAATTCAAATAACTGCTGCTGTTTTTCCTAGATCATTTGGAGCACTGAAGAGTAAAACAGAGCCATAGATCCGTCCTGGAATTAAGAGCAGTTTTTCTGTACTAACTCTGGTTTAATTACCTGAAAAAAAAAAAAAAACTAAAAAAGGCCAATTCTAGATGACCAGAACCAGAACACCCCTGCAGCTGAAATCTTACTTCCTCTGCCTATTTTCCTGAGAAGGAAAAAAATTCCAACATTATTTGAGCTATATGGCAACTGGGCATAAGTGACCAAGACTGGAGGGAAATGCAGACCGTCCCTCCCAAGCCCAGTAGATCTCTGTGGAGCATGCAGATACATGCAGTTCATCAGATCAAATCAATTCTGTGAAAGGAAAGCACTCAGGGCAAGGCTTAAAAGCGCACGCCTATAGTCCCAGCACTCGGGAGGCAGAGGCAGGCGGATCTCTGTGAATTCAAGGCCAGCCTGGTCTACATAGTGAGTTCCAGGACAGCTGGGGCTGCAGGGAGATCCTGTCTCAAAAAGACCAAAAAGAAAAAAAAGGATGCTAAAATTTACTGTTATGAGGGGCTCCTGGGAACTGTTCTGTCAACTAGTATACCACAGTGCTTCAGGAGGTTCTGAGTAGAGGAAATGCTAAGAGATAAGAGAAAAACCCCAATACAACACATTCACTTGGCTGGTCACTTTCCCTGGCTATCTTCAAGGCTGGTCCTTCTGAGGCTGCAATGTTAGCCCCTCAGCAGGCTGATCAATATGCAGGGACAGCAGCTTCTGACAGTTTCTGCATCTGTTGTAGCAACTTGCCAAAGAACAAGTGAAGACTCAGCGTATCTTCTGTTGCACCTCTGGAAAGCGTTAGTGGTCGCAAACCTCTCTTTAGTGAGCATCACCAATGGGCCTTTAAAGGAACCTACACTACATACATGTCACCACAGAAACCCAAGCCAGAGGCTGGATGACCAGTTACATATGTGCTGACCCCAAGCCTGCCAGAACTCCCTAGTCACAGTAATAGCCCAAATGTCAAGTTTTTTCCCAGTGTTTCCCACACGACAGAGGCTGTGTAAGCTGACGAGGCACACAGCATTATTTAACTTGACTTTGGGCTGCAGGTGAGAATAAACACAAATCCTCATAGAAACCTTGGGTCATTGTGTAGGCTCAATTTTCAAGATAAGCTAACAACTCTTAAGGCCAGTAGCTTCTCAGAGATAGAGTACAGAGGTACAAATTTATTTTATTTTATTTTTGGTCTTTTTTGAGACAAGGTCTCCCTGTAGCCCCAGCTGCCCTGGAACCCACTATGTAGACCAGGCTGGCCTTGAACTCACAGAGATCCGCCTGCCTCTGCCTCCCGAGTGCTGGGATTAAAGGCATGCACCACCATGCCTGGCTCAGAGGTACAAATTTCAACGTAACAATGTTCATCAAGCACTTTAAATGACCTACAGTGGATCCTAGAATGTACTACACAGAGAGGCAGGGAGATAGAATGACATTTTGATTCCATACAAAGGAATAAACAAGAGGCTAGAGAGATGGATCAGCAGCTAAGGGCACTGACTGCTCTTGTGGAGGACCCAGGCTTGACTCCTAGCACCCACATGGTGCTCTGTAACAACCATTTGTAACTCCAGTTCCAGGGGATCCAACGCCTCTTCTGACCTCCTCAGGCACTCATGACATGGGTGCACCTACCTACAAGCAAGCAATACTCATACACATAAAATAAAAATAATAAAAATATTTAAAAATAAGTCAGGTGTGGTGGTGTATGCCTTTAATCCCAGCACTTGGGAGGCAGAGGCAGGCGGATCTCTGTGAGTTCAAGGCCAGCCTGGTCTACATAGTGAGTTCCAGGACAGCTGAGGCTACAGGGAGACCCTGTCTCAAAAAGACCAAAAATAAATAAATAAATGAAACAATACAGACAGGCTACAGGGAGACCCTGTCTCAAAAAGACCAAAAATAAATAAATAAATGAAACAATACAGACAACAGGTTATCTTCTGAATGAATGCTCCAGCTTCTCTATCTGGGCCAACAATGGCCTCGCTTGTCCTCATAAGTGGAGGTTAAGACAGACAGCAGTCCCCTGTTGTTTCTTCCTAACAAAGTTATCTGTAGAAAATCTGCCATCAAGAGCACAGATTTACTATCAAATTATGTGCTAGATAAATACTTTACTAAAAAGTTCACATCTGGGGGGCTGGAGAGATGGCTCAGCAGTTAAGAGCACTGACTGTTCTTGCAGAGGACCTGGATTCGATTCCCAGCACCCACATGGCAGCTACGAACCATCCTTAACTCCAGTTCCAGGGGAATCCGAAGCCCTCTTTTGACCTCCATGGCATTGCACAACACAGGTGCACTCACCTACATGCAGGCAACACACTCATACACATAAAATAAAAATAATATTTAGTCGGGCGTGGTGGCGCATGCCTTTAATCCCAGCACTCAGGAAGGAGGCAGAGGCAGACGGATCTCTGTGAGTTCAATGCCAGCCTGATCTACATAGTGAGTTCCAGGCCAGGGAACTACAGGGGCTACAGGGAGACCCTGTCTCAAAAAAGACCAAAATAAATAAATAAATAAATAAACTACATCTAAATAAAATATTTAAAATAAATAAACAGTTCACATCTGAACATGTGGACAATGAAGGGGCCACTTTAAAGCTGCTTGGTGGCAGTGCCACTTTGAACAACAGTCCTTTCCATGGCTTCTACAAGAGAAAGACAGCTATGATCTGCAACTGACAGCAGGAAAAAAAAAAAAAAAATCTACCTTTAAGGTAATCCTCACAAATAACTCAGGAGTCCCTACTTCATAAAAACATTTCAAGTGTAGTGAAGCAACCTCCCCCCTTACTTTGTTAATATTAAATATATACTACTGCTATAAGAAAAGTAGGAAAAAAGATACTCGAAAGAATATATTTATTTAATCTTTTCCATGGCCAACAGCTCATGACTAAGGCCAGGTGGGTTCTGCAGCCCTGTCCTGCTCAGATTCTCAGGGTCAAGGGTCCCCCTGCCAACAGTTTCTCAGTCCCCTGAGCTCCTGACAGTGGGAAGGAAGATGGGTGCTACTGCTTGCTTCATACAAAAGGAAACTGAGGCCCAGGGAAGGCCAAGTCACCTGATGCAGGTAGAGTTAAGGTTCAAGCTGAGGACAGGAGTCTGCACAACCATCCAGAGCTTAGCTACTCTCTTAGATCACAATTCTAGCCTTTCAGAGATAACATCAAAACTCTGAGGAACCACACACTCCTGTACTCTGTAGCTTACGAATGCTAGACCAGCCAGGATTCTGCCTGTACCCAGCCCTAGGGTTCTGTCCTACAGGGAGAAAAGTACCTACACCACATTCATGCCCCAGGCCCAGGAGCACCTGCCTGCTCAAATCAAGTCTTCAAGACCAAGCTATCATTTCTTCTTTTCTTTCTTTTTTGAGACAGTCTTCCTGTAGCCCCAGCTGGCCTGCCTCTGCCTCTCAAGTACGGATTAAAGGCGTGCCACCATGCCCGACTAAGTTATCATTTGTAATACTTTCTAGTCTAATTTTTTCGTTTAAGGTAGAAAAATCAGAAACGAGGTATTATAAGCAATTAATTAACAAATAAAAACATGCTATCAAAAACTCACCGGATTGGACTGTCCAGAAAGGTAGGGCTCAAAGTCATTGTCATGAACTGTATCTTTCTGATGCAAAGAACCATTTTGTACTAGAACAAGAAGTTGCAAATTATTATCTTCAAGTCTTGAGAAGTTACTCAAGCATAAAAAACTTAGCAAAGTCTACTTTCTTATTTCAAAATGGACACCATCAGTAGAGCTGATGTTTAAATGCTAATCAGGATGACCATGCAGAACTTGCAACAATATGTTTGTTTTTGAGACAAGTCTCCCTGTAGCCCCAGCTGGCCTGGAACTTGTTATATAGATCAGGCTGGCCTTCATCTCAGAGATCCACCTGCCTCTATATCCTGAGCGCTGGGATAAATGGTATGTACCACCACTTAATAAAAATGCCCTCTCTGGGCATTGTATGCATGGGTGCATTTACATTCAGGCAAAATACTCATACACATAAAAACAAAATAATAAAAAGAGCTGAAGAGATGGCTCAGTGGTTAAGAACACGTACTGTTCTTCCTGGGTTCGATTCCCATAACCCACATGGCAGCTAACCACCACCCATAACTCCAGTTTCAAGAGAGCCAACACCCTCTTCTGGCCTCTGCCCAGCATTGCAACCATGTGGTGCACTTACATGCAGACAAAACACTGATACAAATAGGATTATTTTTTTAATTTTTAAAATTTTTAAAGAGGTAACTTTGGATCAAGGACTTCCCCCATTCCTGACAAGTGCTCTATCACTGATGCCCAGTGGATGAAAATCTACAGGGTCTCAAAAGATCTACACTGGGCAGAGGATGGTGGCTCTACACCCAGCTGTGCACAGAGATCTGAGGAGGGCCCAGTGCTCAGCTGAAGGGCCTGTACCCCAGCTCACTATCCTCTGGCTCTCCACTTTTCACTGTTGCAGGGCACAGCCAGGAAAGGAAAGGAATGGTAAATAAAGAGCTGGGCCTTTTCCAACCTTAAAACATGATGAACCATATTTGGTTACACTCGAGTAACAAACGCACTGGTTCTAAGTGTCACTTTCGAGTTCCCAAGCGTGAGTTTTGGGAGTTTATCACAAGCCAGGGTATCAAAGGAGATGACAAGATACAAGGACCGCAGCTAAGGGAGGAAGGCACAACCTCGAAGGTCGGCAAGCTGGCTGACTCCCCCACAGCCATCCATTATGCAAGGGAGGACCAGTCGCTCAGTTCCCTGCCTGAGCACCGGTACCTGCCTATCTCCAATCCCTTTCTCCCAATTGCACTATCTAGCGAAGAGGCACGCTGGGCATGCCTTTATTTACTCCCTGAAAAGCCCCACTCCAACCTGTCAATTCTCCTGGAAATGTAAAGTTTCATCTTCTCCAAGCTGACGAAGGAAACTTAGTCTCGAGTTCCACACCAAGCTAGTGGACGTTCTCTCGCCCACATGGGCTGGCGCTGCCCCGTTCTCCGACACTGTCCACACAGGTCCCGGAACTCTGCTCACCTTTATTATCTTGTCCTTTTGTTCTCTGCATCGCCGCAGGCCAGGACACGCGGGCGGACGACAGCCAGCCCAGGAAAGGAAAGACAAAGTTACTCTCCGGAGAGTGCTCCGCAGCGGGCGATGCGACCCCGGGCCGACTTCCAGATCTCCCACCCCATGAGCGCAGCCCTGCTAAGCGACCCCGCCGTCGAGCCCCATAGCCCGGGCCGGGCCGGGCCTGGCCTGGCCTCCAGGACCCCAGCCCCGACACCCAAGCCCCGGCCCGGCCTCTTGGTCCCCAGCCCGGACCCCGCACCCCGAGTCCAAACCGGGCCTCCTTGCTCCCCGCGCGGCCCAGCCCGCGACCTGCCAGGCCCGGCCTCGCGCCAGGGGCTCCGAGACGCCCCTACCTGGGGGTCCACGCTGGTGGCCGACATGCTTCATGAACAGCACAGCGCGGGACCGGGGCGCCGCCGGCTCGGGCCTCCCGCGAGGCCAGGCCTGTCACGCCGCGTGCGGCCCCGGGCCCCGCCGCCAATTCCGCGGGTGCGGCGGCGGCTGTAGGCGCACGCGGGCCGGACCGGCGGACAGTCGCCGGACGGTGGCGGGAGGCAGCGGAGGAGCCGAGGGGGAGCCGACTCCAATGGCGGCTGCGGCGGCTGGGACGAGGCTGCGCGACGTCAGCGCGCGGGGCAGGCCGGGGGCGCCGTAGGGCCGCCGCCGTCACGCCTGCGCACCGTTGCTCCCTGGATTTCGAGCGGGGGACGGTGGGGGGTGTCCCAGTCTGGCGCCAGAGGGGCGGAGCCAGCGGGACTGGGGGCGGGGCGTCAGGAAGTCACGTGGATGTCGGGCATCCGCAGCGTCAGGTACACCTGTCCTAGTCTTGGTGGCTGGAGCCGCTCGTCGCCGTAGGGCCGCCGCCGTCACGCCTGCGCACCGTTGCTCCCTGGATTTCGAGCGGGGGACGGTGGGGGGTGTCCCAGTCTGGCGCCAGAGGGGCGGAGCCAGCGGGACTGGGGGCGGGGCGTCAGGAAGTCACGTGGATGTCGGGCATCCGCAGCGTCAGGTACACCTGTCCTAGTCTTGGTGGCTGGAGCCGCTCGTCTGCAATCTGGGCCAGCGCAGGGAGTGCCCGTCTATGACAAGTGTTGGTGTTAGAGTCTGGATTCCACTACCCCAAGGAAAAGAGAATTCAGCCGTTTGCTATGGTCTCACCTGGCCTGACAAGAGGCTCCAAATTCGTGGAGAAAACCCATCTGTTTGTTCTTCACTGCTCAGAGACCCCATCCAGGACGTCCTTCTTAGGGTTTTCATCTCAGCTCCTGCCACCAGGCCCCCCGGATTCTGTTTTTCTCTGTTGGGAGGATGGGGGATGGGACATCTTCACGTGCCTGGAATTTGAGTCCTGTCATCCTCCTGAAGGACAGGGACTTGGAATGCTGCCTCAGGTGGATGGCAGGCAGGTGTTACAGGAGCTGCCCCCAGAGCAGGCCCTGTGGCACGGAACAGAGTTAACAGTGACAGTCCTCTGAAAGAATCACAAGGGAAGAAGCGCCAAGCTTGAGCTAGTCAGTCACCTGGACACTGACTGCTAACAGAGCGGGTGGGCCTCAGTCCCTGAGACAGGAAGAGCAGGTGGCACTGGCTCTGCACCCATGGTTCTTGGATCCTAAATTAGTTAGACTTTTGTGTTACTGCAACAAAATATTGTGTATAAACAATTTAAAGGCAGAAGGGGGAAATGACACATCTTCAAATCATATCAGACTTCAGGGACAGGGTGGTCACCCAGCAATGAGGAGACACACTGAGTGATGGTGCCAGCCGCTTCTCCTGGCAAGAAACAGGCAGATAATCAAGTAAGCATGGTGATACACAGCTATTAGTCCCAGCACTCAGGAAGCCGAGGCAGGACGACTGTGGAGAGTTTGATACTCGTCTCAGGTACAGTCTCAAAATAACATAAGAAAGAGGGAAAGCAAGCAAGGAAGGAAAGGAGGGAGTGGGGGGTAGTGGGAGAGAGAGAGAGAAAGATCCTTATGTCATGGAGAGAAGCAGGCTTAAAGGGTCTCAGAAACTTCTCTAGAGGCCATGACAGACAAGAGCCCACCCCACTGGCCATCTACCTTCAAGCAAGCTTCTTGTTCAAGAACCTGTTACCACGCTCGCACTCCTCCCTGCTGCCCCACAGAGCAAGGGACTTTGTAGATATTATTTGTTTTAAAGGGGTTTATCTTGGGGCTGGAGAGATGGCTCAGTGGTTAAGAGCACTGGCTATTCTTGTAAAGGACCTTGATTCAATTCCCAGTTCACATATGGTGGCTAACAAACATCTGTAACTCCAGGTCTGGGGGAATCCAACGCCTTCTTCTGACCTCCTTGGGCATTGCACGACACAGGTGCAGTCACACACATGCAGGGAATATACTCATAAAATAAAACAATTTCTTTAAAAAGGTTTATTTTGTGCCTTTTTGGACAGGGTCTCATGTAGCCCATAGCTGAGGATACCTTTTATTAATTTTTTTCATGTGTATGAGTATTCTACTGCATGTATGTAAGTGAACCCATGTCATGAAATGCCTACAGAGGTTAGAAAAGGGTATTGGATCCTCTGGAACTGGTTATGAACTGTTGTTAGCCTCTATGTGGATACTGGGAACCAAACCCACAGCCAGTGCTTTTAAATGCTGACCCACTTCTCCAGCCCCCGAGAATGCCTTTAAACTCTTGATCTTCCTGTCTCCATATCCCAGGTGTTGTATTATTGGCATGTACCAGTACACCTGACAAAAAAAAGTTGTGTGTATGAGTGTATGTTTTCATATGTGCATGTACATGTGTGCATACAGAGGGCAGCAATCAATGTCTTCCTCTATCACTCTCCGCCTAAGTTTTTTAGAAAGTCTCTCCTGAACTTGGAGCTTACGGATTCAGCTGTATTGGTTGGCTCTACCTCCCAGCGCGGTGGTTACAGACACATGCTTTACATGGCTGGGTATCTGAACTTAGGTTTCAGGCTTGTGTGGCAAGTACTTTTACCTGCTGAGCCATTTCCCCAGCTCCCCCCCCCAATATTTTTTTTCCAAAGGTCAAGGAGGCAAAGGACTTAGAACTCCTCTTTGTGCCCAAAATGTACAAGGGAGGAAGCAGAAATTTCTAGTCCCAATATATGTGTCAATTTCTAGTCCCAGTATATGTCAGTGAGGGTCTGTGTGGCAATACTCAGCTTCACCACTTATTCACGTGGAGACTGAACCCTGAAGGACTGAAGCACGGCTATGCACCAACACCCACCTGCACTCACCTGTCCCTTCTAGGAAGTGTTTGGTCTCTGGCCTTGCTGCAGTAAATGTCTTGGTCCCCAACACATGCCACCTGTAGGGGGACACAAGGAGATGCCTGTGAAGAGCCAAAATGCTCTGACTCCATTTTGGCTAGCTTCTTTAGACAAGCCCAGACAAGCTCAGGCATACTGTACATATAAAAGCCTTATAAGGTATGAACAAAAACTTCTGACTCTAAAAGATATTAGCACATTCCAATGCCCTGAAGACAGCCCCTACCAATCAAGACTTTCCCCATACACAGGATATGGGGACATCCAATTATTTTAAAAAGGTGCATGGCACGTGAGGATTTCTGTGGAGTGCCCCAATAAAAAAGCTCCTGCCTGCTATTGTTCGGGGCCAGACTCCATCTTTGGCTCGTGAAGTCTGTGCCTGGCTAGCCGCCATTTGGTTGTTGTCTTTTTTACTTTAAATTCTTGAATAAACTTTTTCTATAATCTTTTTGGGTATCTGTGGGAATTAGTCTCAATTCTTGAACCCTAACATTGTGGGGGCTCGTCTGGGATTCGAGACTTGAGACCCCCCCAGACCCATGGAAGTGCCACCAGAGCTAGCCTTGGTAAGTTCTGCCTGCCTTCATATCTCTCTCTCTCTCTCTCTCTCTCTCTCTCTCTCTCTCTCTCTTGCTTTCTGGTAGTCTGGACATTCTGGAGCTCAACGGAGATCAGACGGACATGCTATTGATCCCAGGGCTGGAGGAGGATGGGGGATGCCCCGACTCCTCTTCTGTTGAGAGGTTGTGCTCCAGTCTGACATGGAATCTAGGCAGGACCAGCCCAGAGCCTTGGCCCAGTCCCACATGGAATCCGGGTGGGCCAGACATAAGATTCTGGTTGAGTCTGACATGGAATCTAGGCTGGCCAAATCTTTTTGGGAAAGGAACAGGGGTAGCCTTCTAGGCTGACTCCGTGAGCTGTGAGATTTTCTTTTCTCCCTCTAGGGAACCGTTGTCTCATAGTGTTCTCACCCTCTGCTCGGAGCTCCGCCTTGTCTATCGACTTTCCATCCTACTTCTCATTCTCATCCCTCTCCTTATATTCTTTTTTCTTGAAGCTTATCCCACGATGGGCCAGAAAGTCTCATCATCTTCAGCTCCCCTTGATCTAGTTCTTAGTCATTTCCAGGACTACAAACAAGTGGCTTCAAACATGTCTGGACTCTGTGTCAAGCCGACCCACCTCCAGACTCTCTGCACCATCAAATGGCCCTCCTTTCAAGTTGAATGGCCGCCTGAAGCGTCCTTTAACCTGTCCCTCATCTACAGGGTTCAAGGAGTTATCTTCGGGGAACTGGGGCACCCTGACCAGAGCCCATACATCCTAGGTTGGTGATATCTAGTTGCTGCACCCCCCAACTGGCTGCATCCCTTACTGCCACCCCCGCCATCAGGGCCTACGGGGCCAACCACTTTGCTTCCCCTGAAGAAAGTCCAGACCAAAAAAACCCATCGGGTCCCGAGGTTCTTCCCTTGGCACCAGAGGAGGATTTACTCCCACCACCTTACGGGCCCCAGTGAGTGCTCAGGATAGACCTAGGGAGCGCAGGTCATGAGCATCTTCCTCTTCTTCCAGTCCTTCCCGTTCTCCGTCCCCGTTTCCCATGGCTGAGCCAGTACCTCCTGTGGCCAAGCCCAGCCCATTACACACTCGCTGGGGGGGGGAGGAATTGTGCAAGCTCTTCCCCTGAGGGAGATTGGGCCCCTGAGAGAGGATGGAATTTCCCCAATAGTCTACTTTCCCTTTTCTACTAGTGACTTGTATAATTGGAAGTTACAGACTCCCTCCTTCATGGAGAAACCTCAGGCCCTGATTTCCCTCCTGGATACCATTCTTTTTACCCACCAACCCACTTGGGATGATTGCCAACAGTTATTGAATATCCTGTTCACCACCAAGAAACGGAACTGCATCCTTCAGGAACGCAGACACATGGTCCCTGGAAATGATGGGCGACTGACAGAGAATGAGGATTTGATTATGGCTGCTTTTCCTCTCATGTGCCCAACAGAGGGGTGGGACTATAACACCCCTGAAGGTAGGGAACACCTAAAGTTCTATCGCCAGATTCTTATGGGGGGGGTTCTCCGGGCAGCTGCTAAGTGCCCCACCAATTTGTCTAAGGTCAGTCAGGTGATGCAGGGAAGGGATGAGTCTCCTGGCACGTATCTGGAACACCTGTTAGAGGCGTTCAGAACTTATACTCCCATTAATCCAGAGGCTCCAGAGAATCAGATGGCCATCAATATGGCTTTTGTAAATCAGCCAGCTCCAGACATAAAATGAAAACTTCAAAAACTGGAAGGTTTTGAGGGCAAAAACCTTTCT